GCCTTCAGATCTGGCTGTAGTAGGATGGTGAAAGTAACGGTACAGCATTTTAACATTAATAATAATGATGTCAAACTATGATTACGTGATGCAAAAAGATGTGATAAACTTTGATTCAAAGCATTATTATGCCTTATAGATTGTGGCTGCTAGTGTGTCTGCTAGCTTCCACTGTCTGTTGGGAGTGTCTGCCAGCTTCAGCCGAGTTCAAACGGTTTGTTAACACTGAGAGTATCCTGCAAGGAAAGCGTAAGAGCGACCAATCCGTGACTAAAAAACTAACTGACAACGTTATAGAATATGACGAATATTATAAAACATTGCGACCGCGCATTTACGGACGGGAAATTCGACAAAAAACTACTTGAAACCGTATCATGTATGTACGGCGACAACCCTCCCCAGACGTGTGATCGTGTGTTGCCAGTGATAACCTTTTTAAAGCGATTATTTGGTGGCACATCAACCTTTTGGTTCTCATCGTCGAGAACTTATAATCGAATAACACCCATTCTACTTATGTATTCAATTTCATTATTGATATACTGGATGAAGTCTTCATAGGACATTTGTTGCAGGCAGCTTTCAGTTATATACATCGGCGTGATACGGATATTTCCATAGTAGGAATAATGCACTTTGATCAATAATTCTGTCATGATCAATCGGTCAGCTGGTTCTGTAAAATAACTCTACGGGTAACTAACGTTCTTTACAGTGCCACCACTTTATGCGCCCCTCTCACTGGAATAACATGTGACGCAAATTGAAGTATGAAACTAAGAGAGCGGCCTCGATCGTTTATTGGAGGAAAAATTTAAAACTAATGTACCGCCACTTTTATGGGCGGAGCTTTCTTCTGGTGCGCTTCAATTTGCAGACATGCTGTCTGCATTATTTGTAACAACTTCTGTAAATGTGAAAACAAAGTGTGTAACCTATTGCAGTAAGTTATCAACGTCTAGCGTCAAATCAGTGCCTGGAATTGCTGTAAAATCGTTTTTTGAGTATGTTCCACTATTCACAATTCTACAAAATTTTAACAGTCTATAGCCCTGGATAATAAAAAAAATTCACTCCCAAGTGCCCACGAACCTGCATCTCAACCTTAAGTTAATTCACTGATTTGTTATTCTTTTTTGATATATGGACCATGCTTCATGTATCTATTTGTTCATTGTCTTTTGGGGGTGATGATGATTCTGAATAAAGTCAATAATAATAATAATAAATATCCCAAGATGTGTGTATGAAAATTGAAATTAGGCGGTCCAGACATGTCCAAAATACAGATGGGGCACTGAAAAATCATGTGATTATACTGCAATACTTTATGGTGTTTTGATTTTTCCAAAGTTTGTGATTTATCAAAAAAGGGAGGTAAATTTTTATTTAAAAATCAGTGGGACAGGGATAGTTTTTGATTTTGAGAACACAGTATGTGTCCTACCTTCACCAGCCAAATACTCAAGACATGATGCTGTTACGTTATACAACTATTGCTTACTGAAATTATTTTTTAAACACACATAGTTAAATATAATAATTCATCGAAAAAGATTTGTGTTTATAACTGAAAATGCATGTTTATTTGCGCACTTCAGAAATTTTCTCATGTATCCACTTCCCATCAATTAATGAATCATTAAATCTATTGCTGTCTCCATTGTTTACCTGCTGTCGCGTGTATTGAATCATTAATTCCGTGTTGGTGCTTACTGCTCCGTGTTTCGGGAAACAAGATCGCTAACTACATGTATAATAAAAGACATACATTGCCAAGAACTCTAGATAAGTGTACCGTATTTGCTCTATTAGAAGAGCATCTCCAATAGAAGCACATGTAAAACAAACGTTGAATTGATTGTATATCGATTTATTAAAATATCTA